TGACCGGAGGCTGGCATTTGGCGGTGGCTTCGGGCTGAGAGCTCTATGACATCTTTGCATTACCAGCTCAGTATCACTTAGGGACAACTCCGATTTAATAAATGTTTCCAAGAACTCCCGTAGGTTGTCCCCTTCCGTGTCTTCTGGGATTCCATAAACACGAATGTTGTTTCTTCGTGATCGGGCTTCCAGGTCTGTCAGTTTAGCTTGTATATTTTCTTGTGCTTGAATAGCTTGAAGCAGAACCTCGTTAGCTATGGTAGCCCATTCCTCCACCTCCGCCACCCTCCCTTCTGCCCCATCCACTCTACTTATTGTGTCCTTTATGTCTCTGACAATTTCGTTTAATTTGTTATCAATATCTTTTCTGAAACATGTAAGTTCCGTGGAGAAGGCATCTTTGAAATTTTTCAGGTCTGTTTTCATGTCCAACCTGGTAGCTTTTAGCTTTTCGTGGATAGCACAGATGCTAGCTTGCAGGCCATCCATACCCTCGTCGCTGTCTACATCTGTGTCTTTTTCCATTGTTTGTTTTTCAACTTTTCCCGTTTTCATTGGTGTCTTGCCTCTCTGTTTACGACCAGTTTTCCCCTCCCTTAGTGTAAAATGCTGTCAGAGTAAATTTGGGGAGTTTTGGTTAGTGAGTCTGGGAGCTCTCACGTTACACGTACTGGAAACCCCCTGGGTGCACCCTTCTAAATGTACAATTGAGGTTTCCAGTTCAAAATAAACCACAATTTCAAAGACAAAAGTCCCGATGGCAACATTCATTTGACATTGCATAGACCTTGTTAGCTAGTTGCAACAAAACCTTAATTTGGAGGAACAGGTCCAACTTGCCCACACCAAATCCACTTCCTGTTTGTGTAGATGTCTGTAAAACTCCTCAAAGTAAAATGTCCAAAAGTCCAGGGTAGTGTGTGTGTGTGTGTGTGTGTGTGTGTGTGTGTGTGTGTGTGCCGTGCAGCACAGGAACAAAATCAAGTGGTCTGTCGGTGGGATTGGCTCGCCATCAATATCAGATCCATTCTAATGCATCGAAAAACCCTGACCTGTCAACAACAGTGTCATAGGAAACACTGAGTTTCCAAATAATCACACTTCACAAACTGTTAGCACATAAAAGTACTGTTTGTAACATTAACCATGTTTACAATTGAAAATAAAACTGTGAAATATGTAATAATCTTTGTATTGGTTTCAAGGGCTTCTTCAGTCTTTTCAGTAGTTAAAATATTTACAATTTCAATCACATTTTGAAGAAAACACAACTGTAGGGCATCGCCTCAAGTTTTGTTCAGCAAATAAAGATTTCCACAAAACATTGTAACCTATTTTTCCAGTAAACACTACAAACATTTTACGCACAGTGAACTCATAATAAGTGCAAATAAACAATGAACAGGTAAAATAGTTTGCTCACCGATCTCACAAGAGGACAGCGCAGGAGCGTGAGATGGCACCGTCTCTAAGCCCTGACATTCCACGACCAAACAATGTGGAGAGAACCAGAACTAGTTAGTTGTTTTGAACTTAACGCATCATTTTAGCAGTACAAATGCATGAAAGCATTTTTAGCATAAGCAGCTAGTGCTAAGTCTTCCTTCTATATTATTTTTGTACCTTTTTTCAGTGAATCTCTCCCTCTCATTTTCCCTGCAGGTGTATTCAGAGCTAATGGGGCATAGCCTGTGCTCTCTCAGACGGAGATGGCAGGCGGAACAATGCATCATTTTGCAGATGCTCATTGGCTAAGAGCAATGCATGAGTGCTTCAGAATTGTTAACCATTTAACTGCCGAATATATGGTTTATTCACCATAAACCAAGTATAACTGTTAAAATTAACCATTCTTTTCATGGTTTGGCACATTTGATCAAAGCCATGTTTAAATGTGGGTTACATCTGTCTTCCTTTGCCTCTTGTCGCACTGTCTGCTAATCTTCCCTCGTGTTTCCTAGTCACCGATTTTTCAGGTCTCAGGTCTCTGTGGTTCACGTTTTGTATTTTCCTCTATGTACTTCACGTTTTGGCTTTAGCTTTCCCCAATTTAGGTTTTGTTAGTTTAATCTTAATCTCCCTTTGCTTTTCTTGGTATTTTTGTGTACAGACAGAAATAAAGGCTTGCTTTTGGTTATTTTCAGTTCCATGTCCATTAGTTGCAATTGGGTCTCCACTCTCCATCTCCACCATCTGCTGCAGCAGACATGGCAATAATACTCTCATTATTCTCATATATTACAATGGTTCAGGTTTAATTTTCATTTCATATTATCTCCGCCTG